GAATTTAAGTCAACAGACAAGAGTGAAAAGGTAATCCTAATGGAATTAGAGTGCATGAAAGAAAAAGAGCAGACAGAAAGAGAACTGAGATCTAGGCAATTGGATATTCAGAAATTAGAGCTAGAACTTAAGATAAAGCAGCAGAGTCTAACTGGTGAGAAGGAAAAGGGATTTGATGTGGCAAAATTTGTAAAACTAATACCCCCCTTTCAGGAAAACGAGGTAGACAAGTTCTTTTTGCACTTTGAAAAGTTAGCTACTAATTTAAAATGGCCATTAGAAGCATGGACTACACTTATTCAGAGTGTTCTAACAGGCAAAGCTAAGGAAGTTTATGCAGCTTTATCTATTGAGCAGAGCTCTGATTACAAGTTGGTTAAGAGTGTCATATTGAAAGCTTATGAGTTAGTTCCTGAGGCATATCGTCAAAGGTTTAGAAACTGCAGAAAACATGAAGGGCAGACTTATGTTGAGTTTGCCAGAACCAAGGTTATGATGTTTGATAGATGGTGTTCCTCCAAAGAGATAAACAAAGACTATGAGAAGTTGAAACAACTTATGCTAGTTGAGGAGTTCAAGAGGTGTATTCCATGTGACATTAAAACTTATTTGGATGAACAAAAGGCTGAATCATTAGAACAAGCAGCTACTCTAGCAGATGACTATGCACTTACACATAAAGCTTCATTGCGAAGTGCAGCTTACCTTGGTAGAGGAAGGTTTAGTTCTTTCAGTCAGTCAAATGCTACAGGGAGTAATTCTTTATGGTCAAATGACAGAGGTCGTAACTTTACAGGTCGTGGATTTTCTCAGTCTCAGGTGTATCACTTATCATGGGCAATGATATTGCAGAAGATAAGGTTGTATCTGATCTTCCTAAAGTTAGTGAGATACCAACCGATAAGCAGGAAGAGAGAGAAGAGTTGGATGTATATCCTTCGTGTGCTGTTACTAGGGCTAGGGCTCAACAGAAAGCTAAGTCTGACTTCCCTAGATCCAGCGAAATTGATTTATCAGAGACTTTTATTAGTCATCCTGATGAAATTGAAGATATGGAAATGTCTCCTGCTAGTGTCAGAAAAGTGGATGAATCAGATAAAAGGGGCAGATTATTATCTGAAGGGCTTAGATCTGAAGGTGATAAGTACAGTTTTGGGAAAGATTCAAGTGGAGTTATTTCTAGGGAGAAACTTATTGAAGAACAAAAGATGAATCCAGAACTTAGGTTGTTAAGAGACAAAGCTGTTTCAGAAAAAGGAAGTGATGGGGAGGCAGTATGTTATTATCTGAAAGGAGATATTTTGATGAGGAAGTGGAGACCACCAGACTCTCCAGCAGATGGAGAATGGACAATAGTGCACCAGATAGTCATTCCACCAGTGTATCGACAGGAAGTTCTTAGTCTAGCACATGATACTCTACTTGCAGGGCACTTAGGAGTTAACAAGACTTATCAAAAGATCTTAACTCACTTCTATTGGCCAGGAGTTCAGAATGATGTCAGAAATTTCTGTAGAACATGTCACACTTGCCAGATGGTTGGTAAACCAAATCAGAAGATTGCAAAATATCCTTTAAAGCCAATTCCAACAGTTGAAGAACCTTTTAGCAGGGTTATAATAGATTGTGTCGGACCATTCCCTCGCACACGGACAGGAAATGCCTATTTATTGACAATAATGTGTGCATCAACACGTTTTCCAGAAGCTATTCCACTGAGGAATATTAAGGCTCCTCTCATTATCAAGGCTTTAATTAAGTTCTTCACTTTAGTTGGGTTACCAAAGTCAATCCAATCAGATCAGGGATCTAACTTTATGTCTGGAATATTTCAGCAGGTTATGTATGAGTTGGATATCACTCAGTACAGTTCAAGTGCATATCATCCAGAGTCACAAGGTGCTTTAGAGCGGTTCCACCAAACTCTGAAGAACATGCTAAAGGCTTATTGTGAGGACAATCAGAAAGATTGGGATGAAGGGATTCCATACATGTTGTTTGCAGCTAGAGAATCTGTGCAGGAGTCACTGGGCTTCAGTCCTTTTGAGTTGGTATTTGGACGTACAGTTCGGGGACCATTAAAGTTCCTAAAAGAGAAGTGGTTAGATGATGACAGGGAAATCAGTTTGCTAGATTACGTTTCAAACTTCAAAGAGAGATTCATTAAGGCTTGTAGCATGGCAAATCAAAACTTGCAGGTTAGCCAAGAGAAGATGAAAACCTGGTATTATAAAAAGGCAGAACATAGGGAGTTTGCACCAGGTGATAAAGTCCTAATTCTTTTACCAATACCAGGACACCCACTAAGAGCTAGGTACTATGGCCCTTATTTTGTACACAAGAAATTGAGTGACACAGATTATGTCATAGAGACTCCAGATCGGAGAAAGTCCAAAAGAGTTTGTCATATCAATATGATGAAAACTTACTATGATAGGTGTACTGAAAGTATGTCACAGACTGTGAGTGTTAGCACCATAGACACAGTAGAGATAACTGAGGAGGTCACATTAACTAGAGACACTTGTACTAAGAGCAAGTGAGAACCTGACGTGAAGCTTAATAACTCAGTTGTCTTAAACAATCTGGATGCTAAGTTATCACATGTGACCAGTGAACAGAAGATGAGCTGGAAGAGTTAATTCATGAGTACTCACATTTATTTCCAGATGTGCCATCTAGGACAGATTGTATCTTTCATGACATAGATGTAGGGGATGCAACTCCTGTCAAGCAGCACCCATATCGTGTGAATCCTATCAAGTTAGCTCAACTTAGAACAGAGATTCAGTATATGTTGGACAATAATATCATCGAACCCAGCAGCAGTGCTTGGAGTTCACCATGTATTCTTGTACCAAAGGCTGGGGGCGGCATTCGTCTTTGTAATAATTACAAACGTGTTAATGCCCTTTCAAAATCTGACTCTTACCCAATGCCTAGAATAGATGATTGTATTGATAGGATAGGAAATGCTAGGTATGGAAGCAAGTTTGATTTATTGAAGGGATACTGGCAGATCCCGTTAACAGATAGGGCAAAGCAAGTATCAGCTCTAGTCACACCAGAAGGCTTATATCAGTATAATGTAATGCCTTTTGGATTGAAGAATGCCCCAGCTACCTTTCAAAGACTTATCAACACCATCACAGCAAGTATTGACCATTGTGAGGCATCGTTGATGACGTCATTGTGGCTACAGTTGAGTGGGATGATCAGATGAAGACCACGAGAATGTTATTTGACTCTCTAACCCGTGCTAAACTCACGATCAACTTGTCCAAGAGTGAATTCGTGAAGGCCACAGTGGTGTATTTAGGACATGTTGTGGGACAAGGTGAAGTTAAACCTGTCCAGGCCAAAGTAGAAGCTGTGAACATGTTTCCAGAACCTACAACCAGGAAAGAACTGATGCGATTCTTAGGGATGGCTGGATATTATCGCCGGTTCTGTCAGAACTTTTCTCAAGTAGCAGCTCCATTGACCAATCTATTGAAGAAAGACTGCAAATTTAACTGGGAAAAGTCTCAACAACAGGCCTTTGAGAAGATCAAAGCTATTCTAACTAATGCATCTGTGTTGGTTGTGCCAAACTTCAACAAGACCTTCAAGCTCTATGTTGATGCCTGTGACATAGGGACAGGAGGAGTACTACAGCAAGAAGATGATTTGGGGATAGACCATCCCATTTGCTACTTTAGCAAAACATTTGACACTCATCAGAGAAACTACTCAACCATAGAGAAAGAGACTCTGGCCCTGATACTAGCTCTCCAACACTTTGAAGTGTACCTTAGTACAACGGTGACACCAATACTTGTGTTCACAGATCACAATCCGCTTGTGTTTGTGAAGAAACTAAAGAACAAGAATCAGCGACTAATGCGCTGGAGCATTCAGCTTGAGAACTTTGATCTGCACAGTCAGCACATCAAGGGAAAAGACAATATATTGGCTGATGCACTCTCACGTGCAGTGTGAACGGAGGTGACAATTTACATTCACCCCTATGAACTGAAAAGCAAAACCAGCTATATTTTCAAACAGTGGAACATGAGTTCCTGAATTATGATGTGTGATCATGATGTGTTTTATGACAATTGTTGTACATAGTTTAGCTTTGAAGTTTTTCAACATGCAAAACTTTTTTTCAAGTGGGGGAATGTTATGAGAATCCATTATACATGTATATTTACTATACGTATATGTAGAATAATTATATTAAATGTACTTTGTTATCATGAAATGTATATTCCTACCTTTTCATATATTATGTTGCTTGTGTACAGATTGCCAGTGATCAACACTGACCAATTACACACTTCACTTCACATTGTCTATATGTAAGCCCTGGTAAGCTCACAGCCAAGTTAAGGCTGATGTTATGCAATTGTAGCTTGGCTATTGCTCAACAGGTAGACAAAGTGGTCAGTTCCCAGGTCGGGTTGGAGGTGTTAACTGACATGCCATGTCGGCAAGATTTTACACTTTAATTGTGTATGCCATGTCGGCAATTTGTGAACTATGGTGTATTATGGATTACACGAAACATTCACTGGATCTTGTTTGGAAATGATGTGATTTTTCATCATAAAGTAAGACTGTTTTTATTGTGATTGATAATTGCTTTTGCTGTTTGTAAATAATATGAATCTTGATTAGACTGCCAGTATTAAATTATTTTCAAATTGTTGTGTGATCTCTCCTTGTTATGTATGGAAACGGTTTAGTGGATCCACACGTAACAATATTTACTGTCATGAGTGTACTATTTAACCTCTTTTGTGTTTTATGAAACTATAGAGGCGGAGTTTTTGAATACGTAACTTTGCAATATGACTAACTTTGTGAAATGTGAAAAATGTGAAACATTGATAATAAATCTCAAGCAGGAATCCATGCATTTAGATGTATTATGTCGTTTTTAAGGCAGGAATCATTGAACAGGATTTTATGTCTTTATCTTTTCCAATTACCATATTTTTTCGGAACTTCAATGGCTATTTATTAGGTGACTTATTTATATAGGCCGTCCTACCTGACTGTACTCCATACACTTCAAGTTCACAGAAGTTGAGAACATCATGTTCGTGTCTGATTTTCGGTTTCCACAGTTTGATGAACCTTCCCAAGACTGGAGCATCGCATGCTATGTTCCCCACGGAACCAAACGTGCCAGTGTAGTTCTTACAGATGGAGAAAGCTGCTGATGGATATCGCGATGGATTTTGTACATACAGCTGGATTACAAAGTCATGGAGTCTATCCCCTGAAAAATAACATTAAAATAATAAACACAATACTCTTATTATGTTTGGCATAAAAACATTCAGCTTCAAGTATAATTATACAAAAACAGTGCTTAAGATGAATACGTATATACATGCCATGTGATGTGGCATGTCTTACAGTAACTTTGTATATCAAGCATCTTCAGAAACCATTTGTATGGTCGACTGATACTAATTTGACGATGATAATAATTTGAATGAAAGATGAATTCTTGATGAAGGTTGACGCAGAGTAGAAGTAGTTTGAGAAACCCTAACGTACCACAGCAGTCTCCCCTGTTGTAGATGGTGACGTTGTAGATACTGTACTGCCCCAGGAGATCCATGACAAACCAGGGCGACATGTCACCAGGGTGAGTGTGACTGCAGACACCGTCGCGTAAATTGGTTCTACGGCTGCCGTCCACAGCATTAGCAGCGATATCGCGTAAACCCCTCAAGCTGCTCATCCATGCTGGTTTCTTCAGAGCCAGATTCAAACTTTGTAATTTGCAGACTGAAAATTGAGATTCTTAGTCATATGTGTGTATCGACAATGAATGTATCTGAAAGAACCAAATGTTTTATGTTTTGTAAAATGTGTATTTCCAGTTGCCAGGGGCACACACCTGCACATTTGCCTTCGTGATAGTGACAAAATACAGTATTACCCTCTTTACATTACTTTTCTTTGTGACTACTTTACTTTACAAGGGAAAATGAGTAACATTATGTGAGGAATAACCATTTCCCTGCATTTCAATGCATCGTTTCTTTTTCATAATATTTAGAAATATCGTCCATGAACAGAGTGGGTTTGTTTTGAAACAGGACATGTGCTCACATTAGACATGTTCTGCTCCAGTATGAGTACAATCTGTGCAGCCTATTATCTTCAGAATCTCTACTGCCCTGACATGGCTTAAGTCTCACTGATTCGAAAGGAGAAAGCGTTAGATATCTAAATAGCTTCTGTCTCTTATTATATGGCTATAAACCTTCATTTGCTGTACAAAATATATCCGAAGTATAGCCCATAAACCTATTTCTTACGAATTTAACAAAAAAATGAGACCTTACCATCCAAATATATGACGAGCAGGAAAGAGATCCGGGAGTAGAGGTCTGCCATACTGTCGCTGAACAATTCTTTTACCAACACGGCTGATGTGTTTAAGAAACTGAAGACTTGAAAATGACAATGCTCAATATTGATTGAAAATTCCTGACATTTCGCAGGCTCAACAGAACGCCTCTTCGTACCTGTTGGTGGGTTGCTGCAGAAACACCAGTCACAGTGACTTTAGTATCCTGCAGTGTCGTATCGCTGCGCCCTGGATGTTCCGGAAGGTTATCACTTAATCATGCTGGTGTTTGTTGTCTGGGGACTGATGCTTCCACAGTGATGGAATGTTGTGTTCCATAACTTCGATCGTTAAATGTCTTTTTCAGATGTAATCGATTTCGGTTGAGAAATGTATCCCAGTGGTATACCTACACTTGTACACAGGGTTTCTGTACCCCTGGCCGTCTTGTACTTGTCCTTCAAAACCCCTCATGAAACAGTTTTTGATCTGTTATATACTGACCAACAAAGCAAGGGATCATGAAGGGGATATGTTTTGGAGTGAAGAACACACATGCAATTTCATAAAGATATCTAAAGAAATATTCATGATCCCTAACATGTTTGGTCAGCATATATCCGTGTCCCGCTCAAGACGTTTCATTTCATAATGAAACACCACAGACAGTACAGATACCGATATAACGAGAAGTGCTCAATCGCTGCTGTTCTGCGTCGGGCAATAAAGACTGCGAGTGCTACGGAGAGTGCAGGTCATACTTACTCTGAACACCTGGTGTCATAACTGATTTCATTCACATCATTTTCACCGCTATTTTGCCTTTTACGCCCAAAGGGACTTTTTTCGGGTGATCATTGAGACTTGTTATTCTCTGGCGTTGACGTTGTAAGGTTCTACATGCATTACTACGACAATCAGTAATTGTATTTTCACTGGACATAATGCTGAAAGTACTCATCATATTGCTAGATGTTTAATGCTAGGCATTATTCGTGTTAGCAATACAAATAATATTATACCATTAACATAATTGTTATCACTCGATTCATGCAGATGTGATGGTGTAGAAGGAATGCTGGCCTATAGCCTAAATGATTTGTTTGCTTTTTAACGCCGTAATCAGCAATATTACAACTATATGACGGCGGTCTGTAAATAGCCGAGTTTGGACCGGACAATCCAGTGATTGATGTCATGAGCATCGATCTATGCAAATGGAATACCATGGAATGCATCAACCAAGTCAGCGAGCCTGACTACCTGATCCCGTTAGTCGCCTCTTACGACAAGTCACCTTTTACAGCAAGCATGGGTTGCTGAAGACCTATTCTACCCTAGATCTTTACGGGTGTAGCCCTAATGACATAAGTGCAGACTGAAATGTGTACTTGCGAAATGTAACTTCTCCATATCCTACATAGGCGAAGTATAACGTGTGTGTTCTCGTGATCTATATACGTGAGTAAATGCATTAAACAATACCGTGTTGGGCTTCACATTGTTTATGTCACCAGTGTCTACAACATATTTGATGGCTACAAAGATTGTGATTGAAACACCCAACACTAATATTTTTGATAAAGTAACAATTAGGTGTGGAAGTTCACTTTAATCACTATTTATTTGGGTGATTACCTCCCTTGAGCAGACGGGTGTGTTTCAAATTCACCGAGGATAATATATAAAATCAAATTTGTGGAACAGATGTACATCAAAAAGAACTTATTATGGGAATATCTTTAGAAGCATGGAGATTTCGGATCGATAGGTTTGTGCAAGCTAGAGGCCACGGACGTGTGTAGAAATAGTTTCCCTACACCCCTGCGTCGGACTGGGCGGAGGGTACAGCTATGGCGTGTAGGATTCTGTTGTGTACAACTGCTTTCATCACAATGTGGACTATGGGATCGGTCACTGCATCATCTTTGGAACATGCGATATCTGCATTGGAGTTTGCGTCACTAACAGGTTTTAAAGGTGCGTTATGTGTGATTGTACATGACAAAGGAATCTTGCTTACATATCCAAAACTGAACAGTACCCACGAAGTCAGACAACTGTTCGTTCCTTTGCTATTGGTTGCCGGTGACATAGAATCGAACCAAGGACCGACTGATGGAGACTTCAGGATTAGAATTAACCCTCACTTTAAGGAATCAGACGCCAGGTTATCAAGAGACATAGATCTTTGAGAGAAGAAGTGCATTCAATCAAGGCAGAGGTATCTGAACTGAGAACAGGAGTCAGTATAAACAGAGTAGAACAGGCCGATCTCAGCCTAAATGGGATGAAGCGTCTAACAAAGTGGACGAACTGTATTACAGGACTGACAGTATTAGTGACCCAGGAAAGACAGAGCAGAAGAATTTTTTTTTTAAAATGGGTACCAGAGGGACTGGAGGAGTGGGCAAGTAAGGTACAAGACGTTTTTAAAAGAGCCAGAGATAAGAATCTTAAGAGTAATTTGCTGATGGGGGCACACAGTGCGTGTCGAGGGTGTCTAGCACCATTATTAATACCCCCAGAAGGACGTAGACGGGAAGGCTTCCACACAGGACCACGACTTCGGACTTCTAGTTGCAAGGCTTGGGACAGGGGAGCAACCCGCTAAGAGTGAGACGAGTCCGAGTGTGATTTCCAACCTTTCAGGCGGTATTGCCATATCAGTTAGACAACAGCTGGCTTAATACTAGTATGAAAAAATGGTCAAAAGTGTATGCAAATACTAAATGTCTTTCTGAATAAAAATATTATCTTATGATTAGAAAAGATGTCTTCGTCATATTTTGGAAGTAACAAAAAACACACTTTTAGTGCCTTTTTAAGATTCACGAATGCGTTTCAAACCAATTTTCAGGGACCCATTCATGAAATTTTCACCGCCATTTTGCCATTAACTGAAATTGCAACTAAAGCCATGTACCGCCTCTTACAAAAAGCTCGAAATCTACACTTTCCTGTCGATTGTGTGCTCCTAGCATTCAATACAGTGGTTGCACTGTTGTTATATGGTTTCGTTTTTTTGTGGTTTTGAGAAGGGACCGATTGTAAAAAAGAGTCCATCTGAAATATTTCAAATTTGCACCTGGATTACAAAATTCCACACCGAAGTTTATGGTGTATGTTGAACTCTCTAGAAAACCCATAATACCCAAATATATAACCGTTTTATCTCGTTTGGGCATAATCTTACCTATCCTGATGATACTACAATGTAATCGCATATGCTATTTAATAACATACAAAATGACTCTATTAGAAAAAAAACCATTTGCTTATTCTTGTTTAAAAATGATCTCAAGTGATGGACAAGTACATTATATAAATTCAAAAGTTTATTGTGTACAACTCAGGATGAGTTATTAAAACGTCTGCAATATTTTGTATATTATGCATACAAAAAAAGACATGAAGTAGTAAAATCCATCTTATGTGCTTCGCATTGTATTATTGGCATTGCATTTCTTGTATATGGGCGAAAGGCCGACACACAAATAAACTAATTTTGACTTTGACTTTGACAGCTACATGTTCACGACAACCCTCCCTCTTGCAAAATACCATGGCTAGCCTCAAATATTAACCAGATTTTAAAAGTTCAGTTTATTCAAAACAGCTGAAGTAACATTCGAGTTCAAAGAGATTTTATTATACTCATTTTAAAACACTATCAGAAGTTGAAAATCATTTATTCCTTCCTAGTATGACATCGTTACCACTACTTAGATTATAGTACTATGAAGCATAACTTTCCTGTTGAAACTGGTAGTTTGAAAAATGTACCCTTGGGAAACATAGTGTGATATTAATGTAACTCTCCTGCAGTCTTATTTAAACTGAAAGTACTGTTACAACCCAGATAAACACTCATACATGTACAATACAAAAGTGGCCCAACGTATTATATTTGACAAAAATGCTGACAAACAATAATATCATGAAACAAACTGTCGGAATGCATATGAAATTGAGTACCAACCAATTTGATGAATTGTTCACATAATAGGTTCAAAACTGTATTTCGCTCGGGTACTGTCGTCTTTGATTATAAAATGAAGTGAAGTGAGTGAGTGAGTTGGGTTTAACGCCGCTTTTAACAGTATTCCAGTTATTTTACGGCGTGTCAGCTCAATGTCGGAGGAAAGCCCGAAATGATGCAGGTCTCAGACGTTTACCACTTCGATGAAACCCACGAGGTATGGTGCTGACAAACCTAGAAACATAATCGGGGCAAACCGGGATTCGAACCCACAATCATAGGTTTCTGTCGTGTCCAGGGAACGCAGAGCGAATCGCGGCGCCTTAGACGACTGGGCCACCCATACCCCCTGAAGTGAAGTGATGTGATGTGGAGTTAAGTGAGGTGACGTGAGGGCAGGACCCGCCACTCATACAATTTGCAAGTAAAAAGTAAAGAGTAAAAGGTAAGTGTTTGTTTGTTTGTTGCCTGAGGGAGTACATACGTACTCCTGCTATGCGACGGCGGCCTGTAAACAAACCAGACCATTAGCATTCACGATAGCACATACACTGATTTTGCTGAAACAAAAAAGGAAAAAAATGGGTTTCTTTCTAGTACGTCTACTGTGTACAAGTGCAGATTCACGGATGGTTTTAAGTAAAAGGAAACGTTAAATATAGCTAAGAGCATTGCTAGAGGGCTTCAAGGAATTTTTTTCCCACTGCATTATCAAAGTTGCGATGGATGCCAATTCGCATTGTCTCACCTTCAGTTAAGCTCAAAATAATATGCATATATTTTGTGTTATATCAGGCTACCTACAACAATGCTCATATTTACAGCATTAGAAAAACCTTTGACGAGAAAAAAACAAATCAGGTTATATACATATATATATCCTTGTTAGGGTCTCTATAGTTCCTATTATTCCCGTCAGCATGTCAATGTCAGCGGTGCTTAGTGCACATGCAACAGCGGCAGAGACCGCATTCCTTGTGTATCATGCAAAGGCGACTCACGCAGTATAAATATAGTGCACAAAGAGTTCTGGTTTAAACTTTAAATATACTGAACCGCAAAAGAAACGTCACCCCAAGTAACATTGCATGAAAAGTTGTAATTTAAATATCTGGGGAATTTTTGTCAAAGTTACTAAATTTTAACTGTTCATCACCTTGTCCGGAAAAATGAAATTTGATGATAAAAGAACAAAGCAGATGACAATAAAGCCGATCGCCCAAAAGCATCACGGCAACGGCCATGGTAACCCAATGTGTTCCGTGCAAATTGAAATGCACATGCGTTTCCCCATTTCTTGCCCTAAAAATCCACCCAGATCAGATAACATTCATTCGTTATTGAATTGCTACCACATGCCAAAACTGACACAATATCAGCGACACCCAGCCCTTGGACGATTGCAAGCTGGGCAAACCGCCCGACAAGTAGCCAATGCATTTCAAGTCCACGTCAGGACCATATACCGGCTCAAGCAACGGTACCAGATCACCAACACTACACATGACCGACCGGAAGACCAAGGGTCACCACTCAACGTCAGGATATTCAGATTGTGCGACAGCATCTACAAGATCGCTTTGTTACTGCCGTGGAAACTGCTCGACAGACCATGGGGACACACCAGCGACACATTAGTGCGGACACCGTGCGTCTACGATTGACCAGCAGACACCTCCACTGTCACAGGCCACACCGAGGACCCATTCTAACACCACGTCATCGCCGGGATCGTCTTCAGCGGGCAACACAGCACCAGCATTGGTGCCACCAGCAGTGGAGATGAGTCTTCTTCTGAGACGAGAGCCGTTACTGTATCTCAACAGCAGATTGTGTTGTTGAGAGAGACTCGTGGTGTGGTCTGAGCATCATGGTGTGGGGTGGAATTGGTCTTGCACAGAGGGTCGGCCCTGTGCTCTTCCAGAACATCGGTCCAGGGAGAGGCAATGTTGTCACAGCAGCTCGGAACATTGTTCAAGTCTTGAGACCACACGCCATACCTCATTTGGCACGTCGCCTCAACCACGAGTTTCAGCATGATAACGCCCGTGCCCACACTGCGAGAACAACAAGAGACTTCCTCCAGCAAAATGGCATCAGAACCATGCAGTGGCCTTCCCTCAGTCCCGATTTAAATCTCACTGGGCACCTGTGGGACGAGATTGAAAGACGGCTGAATGACGTCCGACCAAGGCCGACAACTGCAGCTGAACTGCGTCAGGCGTTCCTCAGAGTGTGGGCTTAAGTGTCTATGGCCTTCATCAATCGCCTCTTCCATTCAATGTATCGATGTTGCACGGCAGTCATCAATGCACATGGCGGACACACGAGATACTGACTTGTGATGCCATTTTCTCAGAGACTTGTGTTGTGTTTCACTTTAAGAACATTTGGCACTTTTATTTCAACCTTGATTATCAGTTTTGCCAACTTTACAGTGTTTGTATGTTTACAGTGTTTGGACAAATAAGGATTCTCATATATCTATCCATGGTGACGTTTCTTTTGCGGTTCAGTATATTTCCACAGCAGAATATTTGGTCAAACTCTGAAAGAAGGGATGAGTTTTAAGCTGAAGAATACCTTCGTAACTTTCCATTCCTTAAAAATAGTTCTAATTTTTAAGGAATGGTGAGTTACGCGGACATTCCCCTCCACGTAAAGGTAAGAATAGTGTCACATTGGGGCAAGCTTATGTCTTGTAGTTACCCCATATGTATTGTGTTATGTATAATTTGTCAAATAGTACGACAGTTGTAACTTTGCTTTAATCAAAAATCGTTAAAACCATCCTTTAGGATACAGGCATGCAATTTGTTTGGATGTCTCAAAGTTTTATGCACACGAAGTCGAGTTTCCAATGACTGGACACGAGTACGTTAATCCCCCTGGTCGACTTCGTGAGATTTTGTCAAATAAAGGCTAAGCGGTAGAACAGACTATGTCGCATGTTGTTTTAAGCCGTTGGTCCGGATTACACACATCACTAAACACAAAATTGTGGCATTTCCGATTTTTATTTACAGTGTTATACATCATTATCATATCACAGTCATGCACACAAATACATAGATATACACGCTTCAAAAAAGAAAGCACAGGTAGATTTTTAGTAAATTTATTGTATATGACTGTATATGTTCTTGCGTTGGCGTTTTATATTTACTTAAACTAAGTTGATGTTCTGCTGACTGACTGAAGTCCCGAGTTTCATCATAAGCTCATTAGCATTTATCAACAACAATGTTTCGGCTGAGACATTAAAACTGATGTGCAATACGAACATACACTCTCCAAAAAAAGAAACGCACAGGTAGATTTTAAGTAAATTTATCGTACCTAATAAAGTCGATATATTTAATTTGATATCACAGATACAAATATGAAATTTTGGAGGTCGATAGTCACATGTTGTCGTTGTACAAGGGCATTGAAAACTGTTCATTGTCATGTCACATAATGCCACAAGGTTGCGCTTAACTCAGTATTTCGTGTGATCGCCCCGGGCAGCAATCACGGCTCTGCATCTCCTCGGCACCGACTGGATAAGTGTACGAATTCTGTCCTGCGGATTTCAGCGCCATTCTGCTTGTAACGCGTTGGCCAGTTGTGGGAGTGTCTGCGGCCTGTTCTGACGTTGACGTACACGTCGATCGAGTTCGTCACAGAGGTGTTCGATTGGGTTGAGATCCGGAGATCCTTCGGCCAGGGCACGCCGTTCATGTTGGCATTACGAAGGTAGTCTACTGTGACACGAGCTGTGTGCGGTAGAGCGTTGTCCTGTTGAAACAGCTCCCTCTGGCGGTCAATGATTGGAAGAAGGTGAGGTTGAAGAATTTGATTCATATAGCGATTTGCTGTCAAATTTCCCTGAACCACAACCTAGTCAGATCTCGTGGTGTATGATATTGGCCAACATACCATGACACTACCGCTACCGAATTTATCGAATTCACGTACACATGTAGGGCAAAACGCTCATTTCGGCGACGATAAACACGTTGTCTTCCATCTCGCCTGTGAAGAAGAAATCGTGATTCATCGCTAAACCACACTTTCAAATTCAAAGGCTGTAAGGTATGGCACCAACGCAAGCGTCGCTGTCGATTGATCTGTTGCATAACAGGGACGATAACTAGTCCTTTGGGTCGGATTCCAGCCTCGTGAAGATGGTTACTGACAGTCTGGTCCGATATCCACCTCAAACGATGGATGGGTCCCGCAGTCTCCGTAGCTGTGGCATTGCGATGAAGTAGGTGGAACAGTCGAACGTAGCGATCCTGTGCAGGGGTGGTAACTCTTGGTCGAACGGTCTGCAGTGGAATTGACCTGTGTGTATCGGTCCCAAAGGCGGGAAATGGTGTTGTGATGGACGTAGAAGTGGCGTGCAACAGAAGACTGCAATTCCCCTCTTTGGATACGTCCTGTGGCGATGTTCCGATCGGCAGCGATACGTCTCGGCATTTTCGGACTTGAAACATGTAAACAGTTGAATGACAAATTATTGGCTTTTGCCTTTTTATATTTGCCTTTTTATAGCAACTACCACGAGTTACACTTTGTTGATGCATGTCATCGATCCCAGTTGCGTGGAGCGATGCTCATAATATTAATCACTGGATAGTCTGGTCCAGACTCGATTATTTACAGACCGCCGTCATATAGCTGGAATTTTACTGAGGGCGAATATTAAAAGATTATTTACTCGCCGCGATACAGCTGGAATATTGGGGAGTACAGTAAGAAAACACAAACAAGTAATCAGTTATCTGACATGTTTTTTTTCTATCCGATGAGTGAATGTATTCACAAAGGTCACTTGCAAACAACTACTTTTATCATACATCAACAAACAATTACTGTTGAAGTAAATATTTAGTCATGGCCCTTGTCCCCAGATTTAAAGATTGATAATGCCACGTCGAAATAGCGTCATGTCGTTTCACTTTAATGACCCTTAACTGTCAGAACTGACCTCGACGACATATGCTATTTCCGATTGTTTTTTCATTATTTTAATACGTGGTATGACTGGGAGATGTGACTATGAAAGTATTTATCGGAAAGAGATACCAGTGATAAAGTATTTTCTATGCGGGAGCTCAGTGTGAGGTTGGTGAGATAATTCTGTAATTGGTCATAATTGTGCACGTGCGTTATCAGCATGTCAAATATGGTCATGTAAATAGATGATTGCAGCCGTAAATGGTACACAATTTGTTATCACTACACATTTAAACTGCGCTGGCTAAATGCACGACGTCCGTCCGTTTTGTGACATGATCTACAACATAGAATCTTGAATAGGGGTAACCAAATTCCTTTCCTACTTGCTAACACCTTGCATCCCGCTGTAGCCAGTTAATTGACATCACACGCGAACACTTACAGTAAATATCAAACCTTAGTATAAGGTCAGATCAATGAGCGGTCTTTAAATTCAGCTTACACCATGACTATAAAAAAAAGTTTATTATATAAGGAGATATAACTATTGTAGTTATTCTGAAGCTCCAGCTCCGTGTGTCAACATGGCGGCCACGATCACCCTCACTTCCGCCTTGTCTGTGTTGGTTCTCATCACAGCCTCAGCAGCCGTTCCTTCATTAGGGGACCCATGTTATGAAATTGATTTTGACGCAATTAGCGTCATCGCAAACGGGACGACATGGACCAGACGTTGTCATACTTGCGCCTGCATCGACGGAGTCATTGCCTGCGACGGTCCTTCTTGTGCGAACAAGTATAAGCCGGAGTTCGAGTACATGTGTACTAAGGTGAGCAGTATTCTCAGCGTTGTGTATATATTGTGATATAAGTTGAGAAATGTAGACAGCAAAGGGTAGAGCTGCGGGAATATTGCTCAACATAAAGGGAAAGTTAACTAACGGAAAGTTGAAGACATCCCTCTTGCCATACAGCCTTGTGGAGAGTGTTTTGTCACTCTGTATATTTATACGGAGATCTGACTATGAATCAGACGAGGTCGTCCCACTGGTCTCCTTCGTGTCTAGTTCAGGTGTGTATATCAGTGGAAAGGAATTGGCCATGTTACCATTATTGAACGATATCAGACCATCGATATTCCTTAAGCTTTATCAATCTTCTTGTTTTGATTTTGCCAATTCGAAAAGAAATTCCGAATGCATAAATAAAATAGAACAAGAAGGGAAGCACACTTGGTGTCTATTTATCTACTTGCTTTAATGTCCTATCCCAAACTTTTACACTGATTTACCAACGAGGAAGTCCAACATTTCACATATTGTCTTCTCCGTAAACTACATCTGCTTTCATTTTTGACAAATTGTCAGGAACCTCTGATATGTAACTGTATCTATGGTCACCACGTTTTGTAACAAAAGCCCCATGGATCAAGGAATGATTTTTTTAAGTTGTCATATAGGACAGTGATGTAAAATGTCATCACCCCTATCTTCACGTTTGAGAAAAACGAACGAGAAGAACAAATACTAAATTTAGATGTAAACTACCGTTATTCCACTGTGTAGAATGTACGCCAAAGAACCCCTGCTGTTACAAACTGCCTGTACGGTTAACTGCCATAATTTGACACATGGCCTCTGTTACACTTGTCGATTTCATACGTGACTTAACAGATCAATACAACAGCATATAGTGAAGCACGCCACGCCAGTCTGTTGCACACCCATGAGTAGCTGCACATTAACCTATAAACGCCCATCTGACGCCCATTTGTGTGTGATGATATCAAGGATACGATATTGATGAAATAACAGTGACACGTGAATATGGCCGACGTATTGTAAGCGACAATTGATTATTTTGAATATGCTTTGCGAGTAAACATAAATTCATGTTATCATTCCATCATGTATGACTATTTTATCAAATAATCAAGTTCTCTTCCAAACGACCTAAAACTATTCTACAAAAGGTAACGATATCTACCTACTTGATACTCTCTGTCACTCTTGAGGTACAAACTTTCATCGGGAAAGAATTTAATACCTAGATATGTAAGCTGTGGAAATTATATGAATGGACCACTGAAAATCAGTGATGACACCAGGTGTTCGCGAACGCACGGATGGAGTGTTCGTTACTGTTCGTCACAGGTATTTGCATTTGATGTAGGGAGTGTAGGAAAACCATATATCACATATTGCATTTACGGATTCGAAGTCAATGTGGTAGAACTGGGGTCTGTGTAGGGCATGATACGTTTGACAGACACCGTCATGACAACTCGGAATAATCTTTACATAGAATACGCTTCATTAGAATGATCTTACAGCACTTGTAAGGTCATTGTTAATGCATGGCGTTGCTTTTGTTGAGGTATGGGTTTGGGGTTTGGAACTGTCCACATTTTATTATACAAGTCGTTCGGGAAAGAGTAACGACGGATGGTTTATAAAGGACAATGTATGATTATCTCCCTTTGGCCTGGAGGATCTGCGTACATTTATAAATGAAGGTTAACAGATGAGTTCATATAAATGAGACTTGTTGATTTCTACACTTACACTGAAAAGTATTGGTAAGGCTAAAAAGTATGGAAACGATTTTATTGTAAATATGCTTTTATCTTGAAGTAAACAGAATCGTCTTTTTACTCTCAGTTTACCCATTGTTGTGTCATTCACTGTGTCAGAAGTTCAAAACTGGCAAAAAGATATCGTCAGTTGTCATCAATATGAACATCTCTCATTTCTTCTGGTGAACAGTCTCTGATAAATTTGACATTTTCAGTTGGCCGAAAAGGTCCCCCATCCTGACTCGTCCGTTAATGTATCGTTCAATTTTATATATTATGTTTTTCACGTAGGGATAATTGAAGGCTGCCATTACCTTCTGATATGACAAGCAATGAACGAAAATAAGGAAATGATAATGTCATAAGTGTAAAAAGAAGATTAGAGGTGAATAACATTCCATGTTTGGGCGTACATTGCTATGTGAAAGTGGAGCAATACGCTTCACACGAAGCTGTGGACAGCATTGCATGTAATTCATGTCCTAACTACACCTGTTTCCCAACGACAGCCTCCGTGGTCTAGTGGTTAAACGTCCGCCCGGATAGCGGAAGGTCCGGGGTTCGATCCCCGGCCGCGTCATACCAAAAGACGTTAAAAGGTGGTACTTGTTGTTACCCTGTCTGGCGCTCAGCATTAAGGCTAAAAAAAGGACTGGTCGACCCGGAGTCTGTATACTGTGTCTTAGTGGGGTATTCATGTTAAACCGCGTCATGGCAGCACTATAAATCAGCATTAGTCTGGACTATAGTACAAGCAGCCACACACACACGTGCATGTACGTCGGTATATAAGTGCAATAATCTTGGATGCGACGTTAAAGCCCAATTCACCCCACCACCCGTTTCCAAACTTGTTTTGTTCCAGTTTCTGACGTTTCAAATTGTTCAGTAGGTTGGACTGGGCCCCTGTCTACACTGCCGGGCAAAAGAAAGTATACAACAATGTTTGATGGTGGTGAAAAATGAAACAAACAAAAAAATGTTATTCGATGGTGATGTATTTCATACAAGTATCGTAGTTATGTTTTGGACTTTACGTTTGCAGTGTGTCGGTGACTATTTTCAGCCTTGTAACACTGATAATTTTTGGTAAGGCCAGGTTCACACAGTGCCGATTTTGGCTCCCGTTTGAGATCAAACAGCGCAAAGACACGGAAAGTGAAAAAGTCGGATTACTATCCTCAATGACCTGGAATGTCCTATCATTGTCAGTCGTACGGATCGGGGGGCACGGGTGGCCCAGTCGTTTAAGGCGCTGCGATTCGCTGTGCAGAGTTGCGTCCCTTGGGCACGCCAGAAACCTATGATTGTGGGTTCGAATCCCGGTTTGCCCCGATTATGTTTCTAGGGTTGTCAGCACCACCGTGCTCGTGGGTTTCACAGAAGTGGTAAACGTCTGAGACCTACATCACTTCGGGCACGCCGTGATAATAATGTTCAAAGCGGCGTTAAACCCAACTCACTCACTCACTCACTCACTCACTCCTACGGATCGGGATAGGTCCAGAGAGGTCGGCCAAGCACTCTCGAAATTATGGTGCGTCCCGTAACATTTGGGAAACTCAGCCGATTTTGTCTAGTCGGATTACCATCATGCTACATCGAGACAGATTCTGCAGTATCGGATCAAAATCGTAACAATGTCCTGTGTTGTCTGGACGGTGTCGTGTGGATCGGGACGCTGTCGTGATGAACCGGCATGAACTGTTTATTGTCGTTTCTTGTCGATTGAGTCCAGATTCGGATTGAGAACGGGAGAGTAGGGAGGAATTCGCCTGGAAACGAAATTTCCCGCCACGAATCACAGGATCTTGATCAGACTTTTGACAAATTTTAATCGGGAATGGTCCTCTCAAGGACGGCAGTAAAAATCCTGAATGTGTGACTGAGCCCTTAAAGTGTATACTGTTTGCTCGGTAGTTTAGCTGCGCGTTCTAACAGTGGAACCAGTTAATCAATAAGCCCATTTATTCCTTACAGTGGAGTCCGGACAATTGTTGCTGTGATCACGTGGGGTGTATGGTGGACGGAGTACCCATCGACATGAACGCCTGGTACAAGACAAGTGCTGACCCCTGTTTGGAGTGCCAATGTGGTCTTGGGCAGAGGTCCTGTCGGTCGGATGAGAACTGTGTTGCCAGTAAGTCAAATGTCTCTCTGTATTGCTTTGTTTACGGGTTATTTGAAGGGCGCGGGGAGTACATGAAGATAAGTGGATAAAATAAAACATATTTTTAAATGAGGTGAGGTGAGGTGAAATTGGGTTTAACGTCGCGTCCAAGATTATTGCACTTATATAGCGACGTGCATGCACGTGTATGTGTGTGTGTGGCTGCTTGTACTAGTCCGGACTGATGCCGATTTATAGTGCTAGCTCACTGAGATACCATGCCGCAGTTTAACATGAATACCCCACTCAGACACAGTATACTGACTCCGAGCCGACCAGTCCTTGTTTTAGCCCCTTAATGCCGAGCGCCAGACAGGGTAACAACAAGTACAATCTTTTAACGTCTTTTTGTATGACGCGGCCCGGGATCGAACCCCGGACCTTCCGCTCTCCGGGCGGACGCTCTACCACAAGACCACGGAGGCGGTCTTTTTAAATGAGTGTGTGTAGTAGAACATTAGTTATGGTGAAATTGGGTTTAACGTCGCATCCAAGATTATTGCTATTATATGGCGACGTGCATGCAAGTGTGCTGCTTGTACTAGTTCGGACTGATACCGATTTATAGTGCTAGCCCACTGAGATACCATGCCGCAGTTTAACATGAATACCCCACTCAGACACAGTGTACTGACTCCGAGCCGACCAGTCCTTGTTTAAGCCCCTTAATGCCGAGCGCCAGACAGGGTAACAACAAGTACCAACTTTTAACGTATTTTGGTATGACACGGCCGGAGATCGAACCCCGCACTTTCCGCTCTCCGGGCGGACGCTCTACCACTAGACCACGGAGGCGGGAGGGTAGAACATTAGTTAAGGTACATCACTTCGCGTCAACTGTATTTTGGGAAGAAATACCGTATCAGGTCGTTTACCATTTTTTTGTAACCCACGAGCGCGGGTACACTGCTGACTAACCAATAATCATGATCAGGGCGTATCTTGGATTCAAACCCAAGATAAGCGGATTCAGGCACAAATAAGGGACGCTACTCTGCATAGCGAAATGCGGCGCCTCTGACAATGGGTCACCCGTGCCCCACATTCTGCAGAATGATGATTCTTTGAAGATTATTTAGGATTACGAAAGAAACATAACGAGTGAGTGAATGAGTTTTTATGACGCTGCTGTGAACATTACTTCATGTTTGAGGAAACCCCAAAGAACGTGGTGAAGGAAACTTGCGTCTTGAGCGTGTCTTCGAATGCCAGAACATCCCTTCTCATATCTACAAGTACTTTGAAGGGATATTTTAGTGGTGATATCAGTGACGATAATGAATGTTTTTTTAAGTTTATTCTACATTTACGACAGGATGGGTCGGCATGTCTGTTTACGACACGATTATGTTTCCAGGTGTGTCAGCAGCATTCACGTGCTCGTGGGTTTCACGTCTGAGACCTGCATCACTTCGGGCTGTTCTCCCACATTAAGCTGACACGCCGTGATATAAATGGAATACTGTAACAAGCAGCGTTAAAACTCACTCACTCGCTCACTCACTCACTCACTCACTCACTCACTCACTCACTCTTGAACTTGAACAGAGAGTTGTTTTTTTACGGGCTGCACACATTGTTTTCGCATCAGCCATTCTGGTTGTATTTGTCCGAATAGAATAATTGTAATTGATCTAAATTCCACTGCTGAACATTGTGTAGCGGAGAGATCCCAATTACAAATGATTCTTAATTTGTTGAAACCTTCTGAAATAGGTACTTTTTTCGTCTGTAGGATACCCGATTGTTGGTATATTTCGTTGTATTACATGTCAAGTACTTTGTATATTAAGTCATAAACATTGTATATTTTATTATATTACGTGTCATAAACACGGACATTTGTAAAACATTATCTTTCATGTCATATTCATTGTATATTTCAATATTTTACATGTCATATACAGTGTAAATATCACTATATATTTAATGTCAAATACATTGAATATTTCATTATTGTTCATGTCATGCAACTAATTTAATTTAAAAACTTACATGTCATTTTAAAAAAAATATTACATGTCATTATTTAAATTATATATTTACTAATATGACATGTTATATTCTAGTATATTTCATTCCATTTAATGTCGTATTCGTTTATATTTCCTGTATTGTTTATTTCAGCCATCCCAAGCGCTGGTTTGGATTAAACACCAATTGAAAAGAAGTGCAATATCCTGTAGTATTTGTTCTCAGAAAATAAATGTGTTTAAGGTCTGATAAAAAATACTTATTTGTTATTATGTTTTTGCTCATCTGTAATCTGAGTACACCATATTATGTAGCAGGCATGTGCGTGTTTGTTTTCGATAATCGAGACCGTGTATGTTCTTGGCGTTTTATATTTACTTAAACTAAGTTGATGTTCTGCTGACTGACTGAAGTCCCTGAGGCTCATCATAAACTCAGTAGCATTTATCAAGAACTCTGAGTCAACAACAAAAGAAATGTTTGGGCCGAGACATTTAAACTGATGCAATACGAAAATACACTCTCCAAAAAAAAGGAAAGCAAAGGTAGATTTTTAATAAATTTATTGCACCTAATAAAGTCGATATATTTAATTTACTATCATTGATACACATATGAAAGTTTGGAGCTCGATAGTCACATTTCATTGTCATGTCACATAAGGTCACAAGGTGGCGCTTAACTCAGTATCTCGTGTGATCGCCCCGGGCAGCAATCACGGCTCTGCATCTCCTCGGCACTGACTGGATAAGTGTACGAATTCTGTCCTGCGAAATTCTGCGCAATTCTGCTTGTAACGCGTTGGCCAGTTGTGGGAGTGTCTGCGACCTGTTCTGACGTTGACGTACACGTCGATCGAGTTCATCCCAGAGGTGTTCGATTGGGTTGAGATCTGGAGATCTCGACGACCAGGACAAGCCGTTGATGTTGGTATTATGAAGGTAGTCTATCGTGAAACAAGCTGTGTGCGGTGGAGCGTTGGAGTGTTTCCTGTTGAAACAGCTCCCTCTGGCGGTCAATGATAGGAAGAAGGTGAGGCTGAAGAATTTGATTCATGTAGCGACTTGCTGTCAAATTTCCCTTAACCACAACCAAGTCAGGTCTCGTGGCCAGATCTCGACGATAAACACCTTGTCTTCCATCTCGCTGGTGAATAAGAAATCGTGATTCATCCCTAAACCAGACTCGTCTCCAGTTTCTCAAATTCAAAGGTTGTAAGGTATGGCACCAACGTAAGCGTCGCTGTCGATGGATCTGTTGCATAACAGGGACGATAACTTGTCTTCTGGGTCGGATTCCAGCCTCGCGAAGATGGTTCCTGACAGTCTGGCCCGAATTCCTCCTCAAACCAGGGATGCGTCCTGCAGTCTCCGTAGCTGTGGCATTTCGATGAAGTAGGTGGAACAATCGAATGTAGCGATCCTGTGCATGGGTGGTAACTCTTGGTCGGCCGGTTCTCAGACGGTCTGCAATGGAATTGAACTGTGTGTATCGGTCCCAAAGGCGGGAAATGGTGCTGTGGTGGACGTTGAAGTGGGGTGCAACAGAAGACTGCGTTTCCCTTCTTTGGATACGTCCTGTGGCGATGTTCCGATCGGCAGCGCTACGTCTCGGCATCTTCGAACTTGAAAAATGTTGACAATTGAATGCCAAATTATTGGCTTATGCTTGCCTTTTTATAGCCACTACCACAAGTTACGAATGCCATAACTTGCACATGCATTTTGCTTGACTGTTTTCCACCATACCATTTGTGAACAAGTGTCAAAACAATGCCGTTTAAGACTTTTTGCGTTTTGACGCACCGTTTGTCGAATATCAGGCAACAAACATTTTCCAATAACATATATCCAATTTCTATACCGTGTAGTCAGGTTCAATGATCTACATACTACCTTTAACGTTTTCGTTAACGTTTGTGTTATGTTTTCTGATTACAGAAAGGGTTTTGTTGCTCTTTGTTATATATCATATAGTAACTAACCGGGAATGACAGCTATTTTGCATCTGTTAAACTCTGCTTTCATATGCACATTTTATACCATTCAAAACTGGGGCAAAATTGCCATTTGCATGTTTCTAGGCAGTGTTATTTATTCCGAAAATAAATCTCGACAAATCCTTTTCATAAAATGGCCGCGCATTGTTCTGTTTATTGGTGATTGGTTGGTCTAGATGACAGGACATGACAAAGAACAGCTATGTTTGTTTGTTGTTTAAAGCTCCACTCAACATTTTCCAGCTATATGACGGCGCTCTGTAAATAATCGAGTCTGGACCAGACTATCCAGTGATTGACATCATGAGCATCGATCCACGCATCGACATGCATCAACCAAGTCAGCGAGCCTGACCACGCCTCTTACCGTTATGAGTGAGTGAGTGAGTTGGGTTTAACGCCGCTTTTAACAGTATTCCAGTTATATCGCGGCGTGCCAGCTTAATGTGGGAGGAAAGCCAGAAGTGATGCAGGTCTCAGACGTTTACCACTTCGGTGAAACCCCCGAGCACGGGTATGGTGCTGACAAACCTAGAAACACAATCGAGGCGAACCGGGATTCGAACCCACAATCATAGGTTTCTGACGTGCCCAAGGGATGCAACTCTGCACAGCGAATCTGGGCCACCGTAGCCCCTTACCGTTATGTACTAAGTCATTTTATCTACAACCCCGCGTCAGATGGACACATGATTTATTTCAGTCTTACCTCATTACATAAACATACATAAACACAGCAATAAAATCATGTTGTGAGTCACTCTTTTCTGAGTTATGAGAGACTATAAAAGTTGTACATACAATTATTAACATACTTATACATATATAAAATAACATTTAGTTAGTACTATAAAATACGGATTTTCTACGTTTTAAAATGACATGACAGGCTTTAACAGCCACAGACGATGGTCTTGACCAAAAAAAACAACTGTTTCTGCATCCTGGCGCTCAGCGAAATTTTGAATCATTGCAGTAAAGTGGAAAATTAATTCATCTTTAACATGTTCATACAGTGGGCAATCTAATGTAACCATGTAAAAGTTATATTCGTTATAACAGATGTACGTTATCACTCATCGATTTATGCGTAGTTTCTGTACATCGTGTATTGATTATTGTGATCAATGAGGGCCGCGATGTCACACGAACTGTCCAAATCAATCAGAAAATTCCTGTATGCTGCTTATATATATTTGTTATTGGTGACCATATGGCACAGATAAACAGGGCATTGAAATTGCCAATGTCCTTTATAAACGGTTGACATATGCGAGTGAGGATAAATTATATATGCACTCAATAAACGTATTGCTATGTACATAATAAGTCCTCGTCTGATATTCTTCTTTCCATTTTGCAATACAGGTGTTGCCTCATAAACATATTCATTTCAGGCCGCTGTCAATTTCTGTTCGATCCGAGCTACGATGTGGGCGTGGTGTCCCACCTAGCGGGCACCTGTGACGCCGTTGTATCATGTTGTTCAATACCTGCCTCCTCAACCTAGGTCGATATGCGTGTCAGTGTCTAACCTTACGGAAAATCAATAGTTGTGTTTATAATTACATTTAATAAAACCAACAGTCGATGAAGCTTTCGATGTACAGAGTGCAGGGTATAGGTCGTGTTCGACGTTTCAGTGTCACGTGAGACATTTATGTTGGACAATTGAGGATTACTGCAGGATCATATGATGTTTGTCTGCCTTTAGTCTCCATGTTTTGTGTGAGATGTGGTGTCTTCATGTGGTACTTTTCCGAATCTAGTCTTCGCGTGATGTCTAGCAGAAGCTTGTCTTCATGTTGTTTTATTCCGACTGTAGTCTTCGAGTGATGTCTGCCAGAAGCAAGTCTTCGAGTGATGTCTGCCAGAAGCAAGTCTTCGAGTGATGTCTGCCAGAAGCAAGTCTTCGAGTGATGTCTGCCAGAAGCAAGTCTTCATGTGATGTCTGCCAGAAGCAAGTCTTCATGTGATGTCTGCCAGAAGCAAGTCTTCGAGTGATGTCTGCCAGAAGCAAGTCTTCGAGTGATGTCTGCCAGAAGCAAGTCTTCGAGTGATGTCTGCCAGAAGCAAGTCTTCATGTGATGTCTGCCAGAAGCAAGTCTTCATGTGATGTCTGCCAGAAGCAAGTCTTCGAGTGATGTCTGCCAGAAGCAAGTCTTTATGTGATGTCTGTCAGAAGCAAGTCTTCATGTGATATCTGCCAGAAGCAAGTCTTCATGTGAAGTCTGTCAGACGCTAGTCTTCGTGTGATATCATCACAACCTGGTGTATGTAAAACCCTGGTGTATGTAAAGGGTATGAGTGTGTCTGAGTGGACAGATGTTAGACAGATATTGACAGAAGAGTAAAGCTTTGGATCCACTTCTAAGAAGCAACTGGATTGTCACATTTCTCGTGACTGTGGTGGTGAAACGTCCTTGCATGTAGCTTAACAGTACAATCCACCCAGTGCATCTACACCCATCCTCATCATCGTTATCTTCATAGACAAGTGAGCATCCGGGGAGCCACCGGACTGACGACAAGCAGCTGAGTAAGACAAAGAACTCACGGAGAAGGAATATAACGGTTATCTAGAATAAAGCTTCAACGTGTGTTGTTAAGGTGGGTACTATAAGAATTTCAAGAACTATTTATGTGGAATTAATTTCTAGAATGATAGTAACAGCTGGTGCACATATGCATGACCCGATAGTCTGGGACAAGGACGACCATTTTATGCTACTTGGTGTCATTGCGTGCTTCTTGAAAGAGCCAGAGAACCCAGAGAACGACCTAACTCAGCGGTGTAATGCTGCAACATTTGGAAACAGTAAGCAGATGGAGGTATAAATACTTGACACAAGGTCAGGTCTGTGAGAAAATGAGGAATATTGACTGAGGCGAAAACCAACTGTCATTGAACATAACCCTTCAGCATGAGGGTGGCGAAGTTGCAGAGATACATCGCTATCGGTGTGGTGACATATTTTGTATGTTCAATCATGTTCTACAGTTTTTTGAAGAATTCCCAAGATACTAAAACTACATCAGAAGAAAGTCAACGAGAGAATACCATTTTCAAAAAGCAGGAACCTGTGAGACAACTGAAGACACCGCGTATACCAAAGAGGACGGTGTCTGACCCTCTGACTGAACACTGCGTGCAGGATCCACGGTACGCCGTTAATCTCCAATATGTTCACGCTAAACTTACATCTCTGATCTTCCTGTTCTCAGCCTATGCAGACTATAGACCTGAGACGCCACGT